CGGGGTCGATTTGAGAAATACCTAAAGAGTTTCGATCTCGGGAGGGTGGAGGGAGGGTTGTGAAATGCTCCGGGAGATGATGATGTGAGACCCATGTAACCTTTTATTTTACTGCATATGTTTTTCAGATCTTCAATATCCACAATCATGTTTCGAGAACCTTGTACGTATTGATCCCGGTAATCCTTTCTTCTGGGGATTGACAAAAGTATTGTTATTATTATTTATTCAGCCTCTGTCGACCCAGGCTGATGGTATAGCAATGTATTAACTATATGTAGAAGACTAGAAATGAACTCTCTGACCTTCTCCCCTTCCTTGGGAAAAGCCCCAATTGTCTTCCAGGAAGCAATTCTTTTTGATCTCTGGTACCAAGTATTAATTAATATCACCCAAGGGGATATGCTCCATAACCGCCTAGGTTTGACCCCGTGGCAATCCATATCAATTTGCACTTTCAACCCCACCCCCACCCCTTCATCATATGCTGTGTAATTTATTACAACAACCCAATCATTGCTGCCAGACCAACAAGCAAGCCGGCGCCAACCCCGATTTCCTTCTGAATCCCTGCGTTACTTGTGGCAGAAGCTGACGCAGAAGACGATGATCCAGTTGCCACCTTTGATGAACTTACGACCGCCCCCGAAGCTGTGCCTGTACCCGATGTAGTTGTTGCTTGCGTTAAGCCCGAAGATGTCGTGGATGCCGCTCCAGCCGCACTGCTTGCTGCGCTTGAAACGGTTTCACTAGCCGTCGACACGCACGAGACTACGGACGGTAGATTGGTTACGCCAGAAGTCTTGCATAGGTTCTGAGCATAAGCAACCGCAGTCGCCTTGTCCTCCGCATCACATGCGTCGGCCAAACAGCACGCGATGCCACTCAGAAACGAAGAATTCGAACAGATGCAGGCGACATTGAGATTGGTGCAGCCCGCGATCTCAGACCCCGACGTGTACTTCGTAACACACGATTGCTACATGGAATATTGGTATCAGCAGGCTTGCATCATGCCGCTAAACAGATGGACACACGGCAGAACCTAGATAAGGGTGGTTTGTATGACGATGCGAAGAAAAGCTTATTCGAACTCACTGCACAAGTTGGAAGTCCATTCTGTGCCGAGGTGAGACCTGCGAGCACTGTGGTGATAGCAATGGCGATGAAATTGGTCTTCATGTTTCCGAGTAAGTGCAACGATAGGATGGTGAGTTGATGAGTAGATGAGTAGGTAAATGTTCAATTAATTGATGAATCAGGTGAGTGAGAAAGTTGAACTCAAGAAACAAATTCACTCTTTGAAGGGGATACCATTCATGTTTAAATAAAGTCAAGCCATACAAGCCACCATATTTTATCGCGATTAGTGCACCTGTTCCCATTTCAACCGATTCAGAGTTTCAAAACCAATACTATCTATATATACCCTGCTAGTTCTTTGGTAAAACAAATCCAGATATCAACTACAATCTAGGTAGCTGGATAGATTCAAATATTCATCCGACGATTAGTTGATTTATTTCCTATCATAAGATATCTCATGGAGGTTATGCGTTATCCATATCTAAGTACAAACGCCGGGCTCATACATATTCAACGAAAAGACTCTTTTCCAGTTCAGGAGAGCAAGTGTACGAAGATCTCGATGTTGAATCAATGCGACAGGTCTAAGTCACACCCAAATCTCCACTTCATAATATACATTTTCAACCTCCTCAGAAACTGTTTCTACTCAATGAGGGCTTACCATATAGTTGGAGTCCACAGTTATCATTGAAATATCTATTTCTATCATTTTTCTACTGTTTTAGTCTTCTTTTTCTTTAGCACTGTATACCGGGGATGATAATAACCCCAGGTTCCCCGCAACAACTTTCCTTTCAGTCTAATTATTCTGAACTTAGCCGAGGATTTTAGCCACAACACTAGCCTCTAATAAGTCTTGACATTCTATTCGGACAGAGATATCATCTTACCATCTTACTTCTAAATTCAGCCTTAACTTAAAGAACAGTATCGGACTACAAAGGCGACGATCGATATGGATAAACAAATATCATAAGAGTAGGGCGAAGAGCATCCTATCACCCAGCTCAGCTCAATTATTTCGTGCCTAGAAGCCATTCCAGCAGGGAAGCTCCCTTGTCCATCAATATGGGTATGCTTATATTAGATGATAGGATGGAACACGTTCCTGGTAGGAAGGACTTCTGATATCTTTAGTTATAAATTTTATGTGTTACTGATTAATTCCAGGCACCACGCGATATTTTGACGACCCCGAGAGACCCCAAGTCGCAAGTGCTGCATCTGCTGGCTTGAAATGCGATACATCGGGCTCTGTTCCCATCATTCTCGTTCCCCAACCCAGCGACGATCCCAGGGACCCTCTGGTATAGTTTCTCACTTGAGATAGGAGTATACACTTCTCACTAATTACTTTATTTGTATTCAGAATTGGCCATTGTGGAAGCGCGATATTATCCTCCTCGTCCTCTCGCTCGTTTCGATATTTGCAACCTGCCTGGGTCCTATACTCGCTGCGAATACCTTGACTCTCTCGTTACATTTTGAGCTACCTTTCACCGAGATTGCAGTTCTTACGGGATACTATCTTATGGGCGTTGGAGCTGTTGGAATATTTTATATACCGTCGGCTAGAATATGGGGCAAGAGACATCAATTCCTCCTTGGAACTGTTATCTTGATTTTCTCCAGTGTTTGGGGAGGTGCTTCTAAATCCTATGGAAGTTTAGTATGGGCAAGGATATTCCAAGGAATAGGAACAGCTCCTTTCGAAGCCCTGGTAAACGCTACTGTTGGCGACATATATTTCGTTCATGTGAGTGCGCCTAACATTAAAGCCCAATCAATGTGTTTAGTTTGCTCATACATAGCACAGGAACGTGGCAAACGTATGGCGTTAACCAACCTCGCAGTGTTTGGCGGTTGCTTCTTCACGCCAATTCTAGTTGGTAAGATCACTCACACAATTGGCTGGCCATGGTCATTCTACTTTGTCGCTATTTTCATTGGGGTTTGCCTACCACTTGTGATTTTCTTCGTTCCCGAGACCGCCTATGTACGGCCCCTTCATTTGAACACTGATCTAGCATCTATCGACGAAATCGATCAATTTATCCTGAAACCAGGCCATGAATTAGAACAGATACTTCGGGGCCCCAATACGATAGAAACCACCATCACAGCAAATAGCAATGGCAGCACGTCCCCACAAGACAAAGAAAAAAGAAGCTGCACTTCATATAGCGAAGTCAAATCGAATTATAAAAGCACGCTCATGCCATTCGGTGGTCGCTACTCCGATGAAAGCTTCTGGAAACTTTGCCTACGCCCATTTCCTCTCTTCTTTCAACCCGCAATCTTCTGGGCCTGTCTCATCCAAGGAGCCCTTATTGGCTGGACCGTCTTCATCGGCATAATACTCGCGGCAATCTTCCTTGGCCCACCGCTCTTCTGGGATGAAGTCAAAACCGGCTATGCCTATACCGGTGCCTTCATCGGCGCGATTCTCGGATTTGTGGTCGCAGGTGTTCTTGCTGACTGGAGTGCCAAATACATGACGAGAAAGAATAAGGGTATCTATGAGCCAGAATTCAGGATCTTTTTGGTCATCCCTCAATTCATTTTCGGATGCGCAGGACTCTATGGATTTGGAATCACGGCGAACAGACCGGTAGATTATGGCTGGTTCTGGCCGATTTTTTTCTTTGGATTAGAGGTCATGGGAATGGTCATTGGGGCCGTGGCTAGGTGAGCTTTTGTTCTGCGTGTTTTGCGTTTGAAAAGTACCTACACTAACAGTTTCAGTTCTCTTTATATCGTCGATGCCCATAGTTCGTTTTCCATTTCCTGCCTGCCCTCCTCCGATTTGATATACACAATTATTGACAGATAAACAGGGGACATTGCCATCGAAGCATTCACCTGCCTCTTGATATTCAAGAACTTCTTCAGTTTTGGCCTCACATGGAGTGGGTATAACTGGCTTGTCAAAAATGGCGTCTACGATACTTTCATGATTATTTCGAGTATTCAGGTGGGCGTTTGTTTGCTAAGTGTTCCAATGTGTAAGTTATGTTGTTTTTTGGCTCTTTTGATAAAGATATGAAGCAAGCATGCATCAATTACTCGTTTACTCGAAAATGTACTAAACAGTCATCCTAGATATTTTCGGAAAGCGAAATCGGGCATTCTTTCACAGAAATGATATCCTAGCAATCCTGGGTTTGAGATGAAAAATAATAATAATAATTCGAGGTTTAATAATAGTAATATGAGTAGTATCTAGGTCTAGATTTGTAGGATAGGGGATAACTTATATAGCAGAGGAAGTTTAATTAATCTCTTGCATCTTAGATATCTATCCTACGTTTGAAATGCGGAGATCTTGTCTGTCCCCAAGCAAAAGTTTGGCAACTGACTAGTTGTTTTGTACTATCTATACTATAAAGGTTTCCGAGTATTTCTAATAATCCGGACTGCGGTCCATAGTTTAATAATTTGAGAGAACCTACCTACCTTATTCCTAAATCTAATTAACATCTCAAAGTCACGACATTTATAACAATATATATACTCGAGTACTCGAGTATATACCTATCTATCTATTTATCTATCCACCAAACCCTTCTTCCCCTCCCCCCCCTATCCCCCCATTCTCAAAAATTCCACAGCCTTTCTTTAATCACCGAAAAAGACCTCAACTCCAAACTACAGACAGTTTGGGTTATTAGTAAGAAAACTTGTGACAAAATAGCGTTACAGTTTCGTTTCGCTTCGCTCCAATCTACTAAATGAAACTATCTTTCTAATTGCATTATACATCTCTGTCACACCTCACTATTGCAGTAAAATGTATGTATGACGCGGTCAATGATTGGATATTCATCGTTTGCATTTTATTTTCTCATCTAGCCATCTTGAGTTTATCGATGTCGTTGATATGTCATGTTTTTTGCCGCCTTAAGAGCTCCTCAAAGCTCGCTCTTAACTTGAGTATTTGCCTCGACCCAGGCCTTAACATCCTCTCTATCTCTCTCAATCCATGCACTCTTTGCCTTGATGCTATCCAGACTTTGTGCCAGGCCCTGGTCAAAGCCCTTGGTATTTCTCTCCGAGAAGAATTCCTCAACTCGCTTCTGATTCTGCTCACTGGTGAAGCTCGATGTGCAAATGGTAACCATCGTTCCTAACATAGATAATCCGGCTGGTAATCGTCGTGTAAGTTCGTCCCAGTTCTCCGTCATCCAAACATACAACGCTTCGATACCTTCTGGGTGACCTCTAAGCCCGCTGATTGGGAGGTAAATATCTTGTTCCTTGACTTCACCACTGAATGGTAAAGCGAGAGTTTGTTTGATCAATTCTGGGTCTTTGGCTCGTCCTAGGGAACGGATAGCAGTATTACGTTCGTCGCTATTTATGGAGGTACGGTAGCAATCCAAAATAATATCGTACTGTAAAATGTTAGCCTCTGTCTATTGTCTTATATTGACTTCACATACCTCCTTCTTGCCGCCGTATTTCAAGGCAATGGCAAAAACACTACCACGAATGTTTGGATGAACAGCGGATTTGTCGCCTTGAGCGAACTTGGCGAACATATCCTGTGCGGCTTTAATGATGACTTTGTCACCAGACAAACCAGCACTACCAAAAAGCATAGCTTTAAATTGTTGCAAAACATGCTCATCACTATCCTTGAATTCCCAGCCGAATTTGTGAGCATTGCCGCTAACAAGTTCTCTGTGGAATGATTCAAGTCCATCTCTGGTTTTTTTGTCCTCAAAAACCCAAGCACTCTGGATAGCACCTAAGCGGGCAAGAATTTCCGTCCAAACAACAAACTCGGTTTCACTAGTGAAACCTTTGAATAGGTTCAAGACACCCGAAGTCTTCTGGTACCCGGAGGAAGCGAGAGCTCCTGCATCTGCGATCATTCCTGCACGATCTTCAACGCTCAATAGCCCTTCCTTGGCAGCTTTTCCGAGCTTTTCCAGTCGTTCCGGACTGTATGATGTTCGATAGATGCTAGTATGGTTTGCATTTAGCTTGAAGAAATCCCCCGGGACCTTGATCGTCTCCTCTCGCTTGGATAACACGAGATCCTCATCAACGCCACTTTTGGTACGAAGACCCAAGAAAACAGGGTACAAAACTTCATCCTCTTCAGGCTTGACGTCCCCTGTTCGTAGGAAACGATTTTGCTTGATGTGAATGCTCTGTCCGTCTTCATTCTCTGTCACGCTGACAACAGGATATCCAACACGCTTTGTCCAGATGTCCATAACTGCTGAAACATCCTTACCGCTTGCTTTGCTCAATGCATCCCAGAGATCTCCAGTTTGTGTGTTTCCGTACGCATGTTTCTTAAGATATTGACGGATACCCTCCATGAAAACATCTTCTCCTAAATAGCTTGCAATCATACGAAGAACACAAGAACCCTTAGAGTACGAAATAGCGTCAAATATCTGGTTGACCTCATCGGCTCGCTTAACTGGTACTTCAATTGGATGACTGCTTCGTAGGGAATCAAGACCAAGGGCGCTTTGAAGGTTATCCGTTACGTAGTTTTGCCATACCTTCCACTCAGGGTAGAAGGCGTTGCAAGAATACCAAGACATCCAGGTCGCGAAACCCTCGTTAAGCCAGAGACCGTCCCAGAAGTCCATCGTAACTAGATTACCGAACCATTGATGAGCCAACTCGTGTTGAACGACTTCTGCAACTCTTTCCTTTGTGGAGGCACCACTGGTCTTTTCGTCGAACAGAAGGTCAACTACACGGTAAGTGATCAAGCCCCAGTTCTCCATGGCACCAGCAGAGAAATCGGGAATGGCGACCATATCCTGCAGGCTAGGTCAGAAAACGTGAAGGGAGGAAAATGATGAGCACTTACCATCTTCGGCAGAGGAAATGGGCTATCAAAGGTCTTCTCATAAAATTCCAGGGTTCGGGCTGCAAGATCCAACGAAAATCTTCCATGTTCAATGTCCTGGTTTGGAGGAGCATAAACTCTGACTGGAATTCTGAACTTGTTTGTTTCGACATAGTTGAGTTCTCCAACAATGAAAGCCAGAAGATAGGTTGACATTTGGGGCGATTTGTTGAACTTGACAGCCTTTTTGTTTTCCTTGACCTCGGTCTCCGAAGCAACATCCATATTGCTCAAGCAGGTGAGGTGCTTATCCGCGACTAAGGTAATTGTGAATTCTGCCTTGAGAGCTGGTTCATCAAAGCAAGGGAAAGCTCTTCGGGCATCAGTTGGTTCCATTTGGGTTGTTGCCAGAATCCCCTCGGATCCATCGGCGTTCTTGTATGTTGATCTGTAGAAACCTGCCATCTTGTCGTTGAGTTGGCCAGTGAACTTCATCTCGATTTGTGCCTTTGTTCCTTTTGGGATTGTCTGATTGAAAGCAACCTTAGTAGTTTGGCTATTCTCATTGTAAGAGACATCTGGAGTAGAACTATTGCACGTTAGATTTGATGAGGAAAAATCCGGTGAGAACCTTTTCGGTCAATTACTGACCTGATGGCTTCAGATCCAGCAATAACTTTGGTACTGTGTATCTCAAGCTCCAGAGTATTCAAAGAAATAGAAGTAGTATCCTCAGCAACATCTAAATCAATTATGACAGTACCCTCATATGTACACTTTTTGAAATCCGGCTCTAATGTAAGATCATAGTGCCTTGGAATAACATTTGCCGGTAAGATCTCTCTTCCCTGGGTAATATCCATTCCCGCACTCTCCACCTCCTCTCTGGCATGTACACCTCTACACATATTATGTCTTCTGTATGAACAATGGCGGATTGCCGAAGATGTTTTTGAAGGGGCGTTTCGGAAGTTGTTAGAAAATTGAGGACGTCTTGTTGAAGGATGAAGTCTAAATTTCAATGACAGGTAAGCTCTCGAACATGGATATAATAATAGTGAATAAATCAAGACTGAATTTGACTTTAGTCAGAGTTGGGCTTGCCTCAATTACTTGTTGAGGTGTATCACGGGGAGGGGGGAGAGGGGTTAAGATATTCAGAGCATGTACAATGAATGGAAAGAGCCAGTCAGGAATGAAAGAAATGGCGGGGTATAACATACAATGAAGCTGAGCTTCGATATGAACTAATTGAGAGGCTTTGAAAGGTTCTGCTGACAGCTGGCAATCTTCTTTGTGCTCTACTTAAGGAAAGGAAAACACTAGCTGGAGGCCGAGTAAAGGACGATGTAAGAGTATTGGAGATACGCATTGACATCGAAATAGGAAGTGAGGATAGAAATAGTAGTACAGTAAGTAGTAGTAGGTAGGTAGCTATAAACACAGAACGCCGTATATCGTATACCGTATGATGTACAAATATGACACACACACCACTTTTGCAACCTTTGGGGCAGAGAAGGAATAAATCGAAAATGACTGGAAACGAACTACTCAACAATGCAAATGCGGAAGGTGGGGCGGGTTCTTCTGGGTCGGCAAGCTTTTTGGTGGAATGAGAATGAGAGAATGGCAGCCCGAGTTGGCAGGAGAGAAGGAGAGATGACCAGATGATAGAAAAGATAGATTAAAGGTGGGAAAAGCACTTTACTATTTAGTTGTTAGTTCATTACTGTAATGCGAGTGAGATCGAAGTAAGAGTGGCAAAAAGCTAGTGTATTGATTGTTACAGTATATATAATATATATATATATATACCTAGGTAGTATTGTGACCCAAGGAAAGCTCTTTCTTGATACTGAGTACAAAATTATCATAAAAATCATCAATAATACCATTCATCGACCTGCTATTTTAGGTATAGTCGTATAGTCAATATTAAAGGCGGTGAAATAAAATACCCTTTAACCGCATTACATCAATTCCCCACTTATTGTTACACAAAATCATTTTCTTTCCTGCCCTTCTTTTTTCTTTCCCTTCCTCAAGCAACTTAAACGGTTCGAACAGCACTATATCGGTTTTCTTCTACGATGTGTTGACGTGCTCCAATATTTACTGTAAGGTTTACTTTGGTTGTTGCAAGAGGAAGATTTACAACCACCGCAAGTTTGAGACGACTAAAAGCTTTCGAGCTCTGATTAGAAGTCATAGGAAGACGGTACATTCTTTACAAAAGCATTTTATATCTATCTGGGTATCAATCGCTCCATTATAGTAGCCAATTTGAAAACCTCGAAAAATCTATAAAATCTATACACCATTGAACTATTTAGCTCATTCCTTTTTAAATCGGTGAATTTGGTGACTTTTTGTTTCAATCTTTCTATTGTTGTACCCGCCCGTACCTGCTTCGCATTGTCGAGCCTTCATATTGTGCTCCCGCCTTTGACAGCGAACCAGGTACTGCATCTGCATCTACGCATCCGGTCCCTTATCGTTTGGCAGATCCTCCATTACACCAAAGAGAACCTTGAGCCAAAGACTGCATCCCTTACAGCCCACACTGATCTCGCCATCTTCAGCCGCCTCCTCCAAATCTTGCTCTCGAATCAAGAATCCTCGATCATCTCCACATCTACAGCTTCTATACCAGATGCCATCCTCTTCTTCGACATTCAAGTCATCCAAATCCACAAGTTCGACACCCGTTCGGAAAACATCTCCTTCCTTTTGCCCAGCCCCTCTTCCTGAACGATTCTGCAGTCTCAATTCCTTGTCATATTGTGCTCGTAGTTTGGGGTCCGATAAGTGAGAGAATGCCACGGATATTTGATCAATAGTGTAAATTGTTTGGTTCTTGTTTGTATGACCTTGTTCTTGGCCTTGAGATTTGTCTGGATGGTTCCGAAGGAGTGCGCGTCGATATGCGCTTCGCAAAGTTGCTACCGGAATATGTGTTTCATTTTGAAGAGCCGAAGGGATGTCTAAGATCTCGTAATATGTAGATATGCAAGTCATCGATCCATCAGATCCGAGTTTCGCTGTCACCGTCCTCTTTTGTTTGTGTTTGCGATTCTAGGTTTCTTTTCTCTCTGCGGCCTCAATCATCGCCCGAAGTGGGGCAAGCTGTATTTGCCTGAGGCGTCAACATTCCATGATTACCCCTCATCCATCGTGGATATTGTACTAAAGCCTCTACTCAAACACTTCAATTTCATGCAGTTTGGTATCAAGTAAAATCTTACTCATAAATCATTTTTTTTGGGTTCCAAGTCTGCACAAATTTTGCCGCACATGCGCAGAAATATATTGGACAAGTGACAATATAGTACGCCGACGAGTATTACCTTTGATACCAGGACCCCTGAATCGGGTGCTCTGAACTTGCTATCTTGCAATCCTCTGGTTGACCTTTTGGCGAGGCCGGGGATGCAGGTATGGGTTTTTTTTTACACTAATGCCTCGCAGGTAAATGGCAGGCAACGAGCGGGGCAAGTTTAAAACGTATAAGGATTTGAAATGGAGATATGTCCATTTTCGAGAGCGCGGGATTGGCAGTCTTACCATACTTATCTACCGGTACATCATATGATATGCTATCTTTGTTCTGATAGAGAATAGCTCAATCATGGAATGATGTTTTATTTTCCATTCTCAACTAGCTCTAAGTCTCTAACATTGGCCGAAATTGAAGTGAAAATCGAGAACAACTATATTCCGATGGCCATCCTCTTTTTTGTCTGTTCTTGTGAAAACGGACAAGTTTTCGCCACCTCCGTCCAATTTCTGTATCTCGATTGAAGGCTCTCCGTCAAACCCATATTCGCTCCATGCAACCTCAAAGACTGTTTGGTCATCCTTCCTTATAGCTTTCATAATGCTGAGACTGGAATCTGTGTTTCCGGGCAAAGCAAGATATACATTGTTCTTACTGTCAACAGTAATACTCCCTCTCGAGCCAGTTTTCGTGGGCTTGTTAAATTCAGTGGGTACAGTGTGTTTTGTCCATTCCCCTATCATTGTCAGCAAATAACTCATATCAATGTGAGATGGCCAGCGGTGTGGTTCTACCTGTATTTCCACGGTGGTAGAGTATCCATTGCTGCTCACCCGCCGTATTTTCTCTATTCAGAACCCAAAATCCACCGTTCCAATCCACTGCTTGTGCTTCTTGATTCAAAATCCCGCTCCCCATAGGAATTCCAAAGACTCTAGCCTTAGACTCTGGCAAGATGGTATTTTCTCTTTCCCTATGGAGTACTGCTAGGATGGTTCCATCCGAGCTCTTCCATGTTTTGCCCACATCATCCGAATAAGCATAATTCAAATCATAATTATTTTCCGGTCCATTTGGTCCCGCTTGCTGTTTATGCGCATGGGAATCTGCGGAAGGTTCGTATGGGATGAAGTTCCGGTAACACCACGACATGTGGAGACGCGATTGTCGATAATTAAGACCGTTTATATATGGACTATTGGAAATACCGGTGAGGTGTTGTCCTATATAGGTGTATTTGGACGATTTTGCCGAGTACCGGTATAGAATATCTGATCCTGATCCTGCTCTATAATCATGTTAAGATAAATAATGCAGAGTCCATATTGAGAGAGCATACATACTGTCCGATACGATATGTCAACAAAAGATCATCATCCACGTTCACAAATCGAGGATAAGTAACCTCATCCATCAAACCACTATGTTCCATCCCAGGAAGAAAATCCAGAGTTTTCGAAAACAGCGATTCATCCCACCCATCCGCATCATCTAGACCATTTTCCGATCCCAAACGCCTCAAAATTCTAAACCTCAATCTACACATCTCAGCACAACTCCAATCCCTCCAAGATCACGCACACCTACCTACCTATCACAATGATGATCAAACGCCAAATGCACACTCCCATCCCCCCTACATACCCCCACCGAAACATTATTATGCCCATCATCCACCACCTGTTCATAATCCACCAAACGCACCATCTCCCACTCCGAATATGAGACTGTTCGCACTCTCCGACGACCAACATTGATCATACACGCATTTTGTATCGTGGATACAGGGTGTTCGGTGTAAAAACATACATATTGCCATTCGTTAATAGTGGTAATGGCATTTTGCTGGAATGAATTCGCGTTGATTCGATGGTTTCTGTGGGGGTCGTGGCCTAGGATTGAAAGGGTGGGTGTGAGGATATTCATGGTGGGGAAGATAGATGTATGGATTAATTGAGTTTGGATGGATATCTGGATCTCTGGATCTCTGGATATCGTATTTTGAGAAGATTTGGAAGAGTTCAAAGGCTACCCACTATACACAATACTCGAGAAGAGGTTCTTGGATGTGCAGATGATATTTATTATTACAGTATCTACGAATCTATCACTATCACAATCACGATACATGCACATTGCACAAGCTTCATGGTATCGTACCGAAACTCCATTCCTCGGTCATCACATCCCTCCACCCAGAACCCCCCAGAAATTCAAAATAACCCACTAATCCACCAATGTAAACCGCAAATCGCATATCCAACCCTAGTCGGTCTATCAAGCGCCGAAGCAATGCAATGCAATGCTTGAACGAAATGCAACGTACCTAGATTACCCCGCTACCCCGGATAATTACTTTACCAGGATGATTATCCTGATGAATACCCTGATTACCCTGATAAGAACAAGCGGGGTACGGTATGTTTGTTCCCTATTGGTTGGTTGGTTGTTTGGAGAGGGGGGTGCGGATAGGGAAGGACGGGAAAGGAAAGGGGAGGGAAGGGAAGGGAAGGAGGGGGAGGGAAGGGATGAATGGGAAGAAGGGGGTCCTGTGCTGTGTATGGTATGATATGATATGCTATGCAGGAGTATGGGATTGGTAGGGTATGGTAGGATATAGTGGGATGTGATGGGATGTGAGAGGATGTGAGAGAATGGGATAGAATGTGATGTGATGGGACGAGCGCGCATTGCAGTTTTGATGAGTGAGAGTGTGGGTGTGGTTATGGGTATGGAAGCTCGTATGCATATGTGTATTGAATGGATGTGCATGTACATGTACATGTACTGTAAGTGGGGGTGTTGAGGACGTTACTGTGATAAATATAATACTCTATCTAGGACATATCCTCGATTAGATTACTACCACCAGATAATCTCATTCTCCTCCCTCCTTGCTTTTTCCACCCAGCTCATCTCATCTCATCTCATCTCATCCTTCCCTCCCCCATTTCTTCCTTCCCTCTCACAACAATGTTCTCCGCCAAAAGATCCAAAACCCCCCACACCCACACCCACATCCACATGCAAATCGACCGGGAGATCCTCGCCTCCTCTTCCCATCTAACTAATAAACACGGTCCCTGGTGGCACGATCGCGGCTTGCTGAAGTTGAATCTGCTGATTCTGATACCGTTGATGAGCGAGTATGTGCAGGGGTATGATGCTAGTCTTATTAATAATGTGCAGCAGTTGAAGAGTTGGCGGGATGGTATGTTTAGCCTTGTTGTGCTTCGTTGTTGTTGTTGTTGTTGTTGTTGTTGTTGTTGTTGTTGTTGTTGTTGAGTTTGGTTTGGTTTGGTTTGGTTTGGTTTGGTTTTGTTTTGTTGTTGTTTATTGGGGGTTTATAAGAGGGTTTATAAGAGGGTTGCTTGGGTGAGAGGGGATGAGGTCGCAATTTGCGCGGTTTTGCTGTTCTTGGTGTGTTGTTGGGAGATGTAAGTGTTTGGCTAGGCCAGGCTAGGCTGGGGATGAGAGGGGGGAGAAGCATATCAAATTAGATGAAGAACCTGATCTTTCTTTTTCTGAAGCATAGAGATACTTAAAAATCGGGCTAGATTGGGATGGAACAAAGCATATGGCTAATCATGAAAAATGAACAGAATTTCATAATCCCAAAGGTTCACTCCTAGGCGTTCTATCGGCGAGTTATTGGGTGGGTAATGTGTTGGGAGTATTCTTTATCACGCCATTGAGTGATAGGTTTGGTAGGAGAATGGCCATGTTTTTCGGTAGTGTGGTTGCTATACTTGGTACTGCTTTGTGTACGGGGGCTGTTGATGGTATGGTTGTTTTTTTCTCTCTTTTTATGCTTGCGTGTGGGTGACCGGTGGATGACTTGGGGAGGGAGGAGACTGGAGGAGGAATGAGAGAAAAGGAAGGAGACAAAGATGTGAATATATGAATATGTGAAAAGAGACTAATGAGGATCTAGCTGGCATGTTTATCGCCGGCAGGCTTCTGCTAGGAATCGGAGGAGTGGTTGTGGGAGCCATTGGACCTATACTGGTGGCCGAATTGGCATATCCGGGTGAGTTCTGACACGCGATAAATCAGTGTGGATTGAGACGAAGTAGGAGTTTTGGATCAGACTTGTTGAGTGACTAACGATTGATAGATCATCGCGCAACTGCGACTGCGCTTTCGAATACCCAATACTCAATGGGTTCAATCATCGCTGCGTGGATAACTTTTGGTAGATTATTTAACCATGTTCTTTGCGTACTTCGAAGAGCGGTACTAACAATAGATAGGAACATTCCGAATGAATTCCACATGGTCATGGCGGATTCCCTCGGTATTCCAAGCCTTGCCCTCTGTCGCACAAGCACTTGGCATTTTCTTTCTCCCCGAATCTCCACGTTGGCTTGTGAGTAAGGGACGCGAAGATGCTGCTTTGGATGTCCTGTCCAAGTATCATGCCAATGGAGATCGAGAAGATGAAGTTGTGCAATTTGAATATAGAGAGATAGTTGGGACCATTGAGATGGAAATCTCGGCGAACCAAACGAGATGGAGTGAACTGTGGAGGGGGAGAGGAAATCAGTGGAGAATGTTCATTATGATTGTGAGTTTTGATTCTCCATCCCGTACTCGCTAAATCGAGACACAATGACTTGTGAGATACGGAAATTCTAGGAGATGCTGACAACAATCTATAGTTCTTTGGAATTTGTAAGCAATGGTCAGGAAACGGGGTCGTCTCCTATTACTTACACACAGTAAGCACATTTCGAGCCCTACTCCTTCAACCCCATTGACAACTATTAGATGCTCGACGACGTTGGAATTACAACCACCTTCCAACAAACTCTCATCACTGCAACCTCCCAAATGTTCTCCTTTGCCTGTTCCGTCGGTTTTGCTTTCCTCCCCGCTCGAGTAGGTCGACGCCCTCTTCTGCTTTGGTCCATGGGCCTCATGTGGCTCGTCTTCACCATCATCACCATTCTCACTGGCGTGTTCACTCATACCAAATCCAAATCCGCCTCCTACGCCTCTGTCGCGTTCATCTATTTGTATAGCGGTGTCCATAATTTGGGATGGACAGGTGCCATGATGCTGTACGTCGTTGAAATTTTGCCATATACGTTGCGTGCCAAAGGTATCTCATTATTTTGGTTGGTCACGGGCTTGGCCGGTGCTTTCAATACCTATGTGAACCCATTGGGACTTGCAAGGTTTGGCTGGAAGTTCTATTTCTTCTATGTGGCATGGATTGCTGTTGAGTTTGTCGTGGTGTATTTTGTTTGTCCTGAGACGAAGGGAACGAGTTTGGAGAATGTCGCGTTGGTCATCGAGGGGAATGATGCTAAAGTTAGTAAGATGAATCCTGTGAAGGAGGCGGTGATTGAGAAAGATGGAGGAACCATGGAATATGTTGAGCGGACCAAATGATGCGGTAGTGACCGTGAAGGTATACCTAAACTTCTATTGAAGTAATATAGCTAGGTAGGTATTTACTCGTAGATCATAACAATGACGTTAATGGCTGGTGGTACTTGTGTAAGTTGAGCTATCAAGGAATCAAATTCATTCTTCGACCACTTGCAGTTCTCGGGAGGACTAAATTGGGGATCTTCTTCAAAAGCAGGTTATTATTGTAATTGTGGTAGATTGCTTCCCCAGGTTTTGTTATTTGATATATACTAGGTAGGTGTCAAAATATGATGTCTGGACATATCGACTTTTCTAACCTTTCAAAGGTGAACTTTTTTCTTAAGTTTTTTATTTCCTTGAAATCAACCAACCTTACAAAAAGTTACCATCCACTCACTACTTATCATCACTCATCATCACTCACTTTCATCTACATCTGAATCGAGATTCATCTTTGAAAACAGATAAATATCACAAGCTTTCTTGATAAGACTTTTGTCAACAATCTATTCTCTGTGTGAACCGGATTTCTTTGGTAAAAATGGCAAGTATCTCCATCCAAGCATCATGTCTGTCAAAGATGGCAAAGATGTCAACCAAAATAGATACAACCAAATGATTAACGTTTGAAAAGGCTCCTAAGAATCTGCCACCCGCAGCCAAGCAAGCAAAGATTCTGGAGTGGTTTCGAACCTCCATGGGAGTCTATTCTTTCAAAGAACTGGAGAAACTACTCCCATCTGTCGGATCAATCAACGGCATGCTAGTGAAAGAGTACGTTCAAGCGCTCACAGACGAGAACCTGATCCGCGTCGAGAAGATTGGGAGCGGCAATTGGTATTGGTCATTTACTTCGGATGCCAAGAAAAGCAAAGAAAACATGATCAACAAATTGAAGGAGGAGGAGAATAAGCTGTTGGCATCTATGGCAGATGGTGAACAACAGATTGAGAAAGAAATGAGCAAACGTCAAGAGGACGATGAAATGCTTCTGGACGGTGGATCGGACAGACAGGCTTTGATGGAGGCTTACGAGACTCTTGTGAAGGAGAACGATACTCTTGATAAGGAATTGGCACTCTACAGTGATAACGATCCCGTTGAGGTCTTGCGAAAAGTGGAGGAAACCAACAAAGTCAAGGAGAGCACCTTAAGATGGACAGAAAATCTTGAATCACTGGAGTGTTTCCTTGTCAGCTTGACGGGAGACCGAGCTCAAGCTGGAGAAATCATGTATCGAGCATGTGGCGATGACTATATTGTTGGGGAAGGGTTGAAGGAGCTGATGGTTCCAAACTAGTGGATCATCCTTAGCTTGCTTGCATGGGAGGGACCCCGAATCATCGAATGGTACTACAGTACGATACTGGTTTGCGATTATCGTTACTCGGTCTGATCGGTCTGGCCGGTACATTGTATAGCTTCACGTTTCGTTGTCATCAGCTTATTGCGAAAATACGATATCGAGGGACAATATGGTCAGATATCAAATGGGTACTGTATGCATCGAATCAAAGAACGGTGAAGAGTCCGAACATCAACCACCTTATATTATTCATTTGATTGCTCGAGAACTATCTTTTCAACTTGAAATGCTGATGCTACGCTGATGAAACATTTTTATGCATAATGTTACAGACTGACAAGTAACGCGAATCCCAATAACTCCACTTGACCACCTGGATACGCTACCCACGACTCGGCCACGAGCGACTTGAAGAAGAATAAACCAAAACAGACGAGAGTGCAACTCAAAGTGGAAAAGCAAACTGGAAGGGATTAGACAAGCTTTTTTGCAAGATCTTAGGCTAATCGCCATGTCGAGAAAAGCAGCTGGGCAACCGAGCAACAATCTTCAGTGTCAGAAACGGGACTCGGGGATTTTAACCAAAGTGTGGTGTGTACTCGTACCCCGCACCGAGAAACCCACCATTTAGGCAAATAGGCCGGTGAGATATCACAGTGTCACATCATATATATCCTCTTTTGTTTTCCAGATATCCTATCACCTTTCTACAACCTTCATGCAGATTACTCGATATGGCTGAGTGCATATACTTGATAGAGCGAGTCAGTGGTAGTACCATGCATGATGACTGGTAAGTTGTAACTCATGGCAAGATCGAAGAATGTCTAGGTAAGGGTTATCGGTGATGAAAAGAATTCGGAACCGAAGCCGAAAAGGAAAGGAAATATATATTTTATACTTTGTACTTTGTACTTCATACTCCACTCCATCCTTCATACTCCATACTTTCATGAATCGTGATGGCAAGGTACCTACAGTAGTACTACGCTACCTAGGTATCAAGATCACGGATGAGGTGATATCCAATGAAGCTGCCGGTACCTTATCTCCTCACCAGACCTAGCAGACCATAATACAAGAAAGAGTACGTGGACAATAATGTACAGAGTACTCCCGTATGTATGTATGAGTTGCTCATGCAGTTGATCACTTCTTCTACGCCTAGAACCATCCAACGCCAGCCCTACTGTACTCCGTACTCATCTCATTACCCTTACTATTCCTCGAGGGTCGGCCACTCTCGTACTTGTACAATCCGTACTTTGTACAATCCGCATCTATTATATTGTAGCCCGTTGGGTAGTATACGAAATATGAAGAAACTTTGGTTGGTTGAGACTTGTACTTCCAGTTAGGTATTATATATATTTGTACGTAGGTATGATTGATATTGTACCGATAACCTTCCCGATGGCAATCATCCAATACCGATATCCCTAAAGCCGAATAATCCAATCTAATAATCATACAGTATTCGTACTGGTGGTCACCTTCCTTTCCTTTCCCTTCTATTCGAATACCGCACTGTATGAATCATTCTTTATGTTCTTATATACCGGAATATTATTACTCGTATATCTTTATCAAATGCTCTACTCGTAACTTTCACTCATATTCCCCCCCTTCCCCCCTCTCTCCTTCTCAGCCTTAACAATCAGATTATCAAAATTTCCAACAAATACATCAAATAACATATACCAACCCACACACACCTTTTGTGACCGAACCCCCCAATCAGAATTTGTTAAACCGTTAGACCGCGGACTTGTGGACCGTGGACCTGGGCGAATTCAAGCTTTCTGCAACGCGTAAGGGCCCTCCGCGGGTTCCTCTTTGAATATCTTGAATATCTTCGAATCCCTTCAAATTTTGTCTGGGGCTTACCTCTCCGTATTACAACTTATTATACCCAGACGACTTATACCCATATTTGTTTCGCATTTTTTAATTAATTCAAAGTCAAAAGGCTAAAGCCAAAATTCAAAAGTCAGAAGTTCGAACCCTTCCATTAATCCCTCTATGAAGAAATAAGGTCTCTCCCGCTGTCTCCCCCCTCGCTCGCTCGAGTCTCCCTCCCCACCCTTCTATACAAATACAAATACAATACAGTAATACTCTCGGACTCGGACCTTTGAATGGTGTTTTGGTAAAACGGACATACTTCTCATTCAAAGGACTACATTTGACCGACAACATTATTCAACATCATTATTGAAGAAAAGATTGCAAATCCTGCTTCCAAATCTCTAATAAAGTGTTTAGAGTCCTAAAACCTATTGAGCTACCTACTACCTAGTAGTCTTCCCGGTCCTCATACCTACTCTGTACCAAGTTACAAACTACGTACAATCAGCCCCATTCATTCATTCATTATTATTATCATTATTATTACTGTTTTATTACTATTATTACTCAATCATACAAGACTTACTCAAGGATTTGCCATGCATCTTGAATTACCTTGTGCTATACCGACTTAGCATTGGCATCTGTCGTTGCTCTTCTCCCCCCGCAGCCACCCGGAATTTACAGTCCTGCCAATACCTACTACGTGCGACTTTCCGTCAATTCCTTCCCAGTACTTGGCAGACACGATTGAAGACTTGGCACCACGAATATATCATACATATATTGTATTAGTATGTGCGCGAATGCTACTTCAACGACTCGGTCGCCGCCGACCGCATCGACCGGTCGCTCTCTGTTTTCTAGACTGACAGCCCCGTTGAAGTCGCGTACGCGAAACCTGGCAGATTTCCAAATTGAACCCCTCGAACCTCATCGACGATATGCACCTGGAGATCTAGTCAGGGGTGCCGTTGTATTGACTGTCGTCAAACCGGTTCGAATCACCCACCTCACTGTCTGCCTTCATGGTTTCGTACACGTCTACAAGAATGCCAATGGGGCGAATGAGCCCCTGCCAGATACGGCGGCATTTGCTTCGGGCAATCCTCTGAAATCACAATACTTTGGGAACGGTTATTGTTCACTCTTTCAAGATGAAATGACATTGTGCGGCGAAGGCAGACTTGAAGCTGGGGTATATCGATTTAATTACGAGCTGGAATTTCCCACCAAGGGTATTCCCACCAGCGTCGACGTAGGCAACTTTTGAATGAATTCCCACTGCGACTTGTACTAATGCTTTCGAGTAGTTCGAGAGAGGAACGATATCATACCAGATTTCTTCGACGGTAACACGGCCAACAACAATAGCCGCAACTTCGATGTGCGAGAGGAAGGTCGAGCTGGTGGAGAGAGTGGATATCGGTCCTTTAGGTCCACCTCGACCCCGAACCATATCACTGGAACCAATATCGAAACGAGCAAGGAGGAAGAAATCTCTCAAGCCAAAAGACACTCCTTTATCCCGCGAACTCACGGGCACGAGATCGATTAGTGATTCGACCGGAGCTACATCACCGCGGCCGGACGAATCGGCGAGTCAAGTAGACATACTCGAGAACCCAATACAACCTCGAAGCCCAACACAAAGCGACGCTCAAAGTGCCTTCAGTGCAGATACTGGTAGTACAATTAGCAGTAGTACCGGTCTCAGCTTTCGGTTGGGCCCTGTTCCATCATCAGCACGGTCGACTCGAGATAGTCAAGGGAATAGCAGCAATTCCCTGGAGGATAAAACTATCACGGCCACAATAGAATTGCTCAAATCCGGATGTTTACCAGGAGATTATCTTCCACTAAAGATAAGTGTACAGCACACTAAAGCTATCAAAAGTATGCATGGAATTATTATTACATTGTATAGACAAGGACGAATAGATTCTGCACCTCCGCTATCACTTTTCAAGGATATTAAAGGGAAGGAAGCCGAAAGACTGAAGCATGAGGAATACTATCCTAAATCTAAGACCGGTTTGGGTGGCCTGTCACTTAGTTCAGCTGGATCGACTAGTGTCTTCCGGAAGGACCTTTCACAGACGTTCGCACCACTCATCGTTGACCCTTCAACACTAACTACGCATGTTACAGCATCCGTCAGGGTTCCCGAGGATTGCTTTCCAACTATAAGTGGTGTGCCCGGCCAGATGGTGAATTTCAAGTACCACGTTGAAGTTGTAGTTGATCTTGGAGGGAAATTAGCTGGCCAGCAAAGACATGTACCACGTGTTGGAACTGTCAGCTTACCTGCCACTTATGGGAGCACCGGAAACAGATCGGAAGGAAACGCCAGCATGTTAGCTGCCTTTGGGGGTAGTATTGTCGATACAGATCATATCAGGCGAGAGAAAAGCGTGGTTGCGTGTGTTTTCGAAGTCATTGTTGGAACTATGGATAGTGCTCGGAATAAAGCAAGGCATAGGGGCAAACAACCGGCTGGATCTTCGGACTCAAGGCCAATCACACCATCTCTCGCTCGTAAGCCCGTACCCGAGGAACCATTTGACCACGAATATATACACCGGGAACACGCGGAACATCCCAACCGTCCTTATCAATATTACGACCCGAGTTACGAAGAACCGTATCCTTATGAATACCACCAAAGCTATGAACAGCATGCCGATCATTATGCTAGATATCCACCGCCATCACATACACAAATATACGTTCCACCACCAGAAACCGAGACACAAGCCGGTCTGAGTGAGAAAGAACGAATTAGGAGAGCAGAACAGAGACTTCTTCCCAGTCAGCCTCCAGATTTTCAAGCATCATCATCATCGTCGTCATCATCGGCGGCAGTAGTGGACCCTATCGGATCATCTGCACCCCCTAACCCAGCTGACGAAGATCTCTACACCGCCGATGGTCTACCACCAAGCAGTCCCACACCCCTTGCATCTCATCTAATTGACTCAGGTTCGCACTTGGAAGAGTCTCCAGCCATCGGCCCATCTGCCCCTAGCCTTTCAGATCTTACCCCGCATCCCTCGAACGTTACAGAAGATAAACAAGAACTCGAACGACAAAGACTCCTAGCTGAAGCGAGCGCACCCTCGGAGTTTCCAGACATGGAAGAAGAGGGTGAAAATAGCCGACAGGGTCCTGCTGCTTCGGCACCACATGATCATGAACCCTCGGCTCCGATATTTCACGAAGAAGATGAATATGGAACAGGTTATGCACATCAAAATTTTGACGGGGCGAGGGCGAATCAGGAGAATTTACCTCCGAGATATGAAAGGTAGTTGGCAGATGTGGAGAACTGTTATGTTATTGATACCCATGGGCGGCGAAGGAATGAATGGAATGGAACGGCGAGGAATCAATTTTAGCGATGCTATATAGAGTTTATGGAGGATTGGAAGGCTAGCGGACGATTGAATGAATTATATGATATATTAAATTAACATCAAGACTACATGTATCATCTCCTATCAGTCATGAATTGGTTTTATTATTTAGTGATCAGATTCCTATATTCAACGAGCAGGTAACTCAAGCGCATTTACCGACCTACCAATATATTCACCCACCCACCAACCTAATCAATCATTCCACTCCCCTCCTCCTCTGCTCTTCTCCTTTCCTCTCTTCATCCAACCAAAAACTTTCAACAACCTATAACCAGCAACCTACTCAAAGCCTTATCCACTACTACACTTACTACACTACCACAACACCAACACAATGACCATTAACCTATCAACACATATATAACCCCCTTCCAAATCCCCGCAAATCCATCCAAATCCCTTTAAACCCCTCCGGATCATATTCGATCCAGCGCAGGTGTTTACTATTGCATACGATACCTATACACATACACATACGATACGATACAATACGATACGATACGATGCATATCTACTCGAGTTAAGTAGCTACTCTACTCTACTCTACTCTACTCTACTCAAACTAGAACTAGCTAGCACTGATATAATTTACTCGAGTAATCTAACCTAATCTGATATAATCTGATAATAGTACGTCCACGTCCACGTCCACTTTCCACATCCAAAGTAGAGTTGAGTGAGTGAGTGAGTAGCTTGCTTATTAACTTGTTTATTTATTTACTTGCGAGATATACGAGTAAATAAAATATGATATGATATTCGGATCCGGGTTCGGATAAGATTCAGATTCAAATTCGAAACATCAGAGCTCGCTCACTGATCGTTTGTTAGCATCATCATTATCATCACTTTTTGGGTAAGAGCAATTATAGATAGACATAGTCATAGTCATGGAAAGGTAATGGATGGTAATAGTTATTGTTTTATGATTGTTTCATGAATTTCATTTCTGAGCCACTACACTGCACTACGTCTAACGAATCCCGTTCTAACAATCCCGTCCTAACAATCCCGTCCTAATTCTATTTCGCTTGTAGCACGACGCTCGAAGCGCCGAACGCAAAAGCAGGCGATCTTGATCCTCCACTACCGCAATAATAGAAATGTGTTACAGCGAGCGAACGTGCAAAGATGATTTCGAAAGAAAATTTGTAGTTTATTTTACGCCTTCCAACACCCCCATCCCATGAAAATCAACAGACAATGTAAAATCAGATAAATCACCACAGGCCCTAGTTACTTTTTGGCTGATGCCTTCCTTCCTTCCTTCCTTCCACCATCATGTGAGTTTACGAGCACTTCGTCTACTCAATCTAGGCCTTCAATTTCATTGGTGCCGTGCCGAGTCCGTTGCGGTTACGGAAGAAAAAGACTTTCTTGCCTTCACCCTCGGCACCCTCAGATGGTTCAACCCATTGGCACCAACGAGCGCTGGTGTACAAGCTCTTTAAGAATCCGAGAGATCCTCCTCGGACGTCGGCTCTGTAATGTCGACCCATGATGGGTTTGATGGCCTCGGTGGCTTCATCGGCGTGGTAGAATGGAATGGTGCTGACGTAGTGGTGGAGAACGTGGGTCTCGATGATACCGTGTAGAAGAGTGCGGCCAACAAATCCGAATTCACGGTCGATGGTTGCGGCGGCTCCACGAACGTAGTTCCAGCTCTCGCCGGAGTAGTGAGGAAGGGTTGGGTCGGTGTGTTGAAGGAAGGTGATGGCAACGAGCCAATGGTTGACCCAGATGTAGGGAGCAAAGTACCAAATGGCCATGTTGTAGAAACCGAAAGTCTTCGTGAGCATGATGAGAACGGTGGCGGTGATGGCGATACCAAAATCACTCAACAAGATCAATTTGGCATCCTTGGCTTCATAGAGAGGACTGGCTGGGTTAAAGTGACTGACTGTCCAAAAGCTATTGACTTTTCCTTTTCCACGACCTTCGGGTTGACGCTCGTGGTAGTTGTGGCCGGTGACGTTCTGGAACAAGTACAAGGGCCAGCCTAAAAGTTGTTGCGCGAGAGAGTGGATCAGAGTTGCAATTGGAGTCTCCTCGGTGAGCTCGTGAACCTCGTGAACGAGTTTTCCGATACGGGTAGCATAATCTTGGCGAGTCTTGGGAACGAAAACCATATCGCGCTCCATGTGTCCTGTTGCCTTGTGGTGCTTGCCGTGGGAGATCTTCCATGAGAAGTATGGGACGAGGAGAACAGAGTGGCAGATCCATCCGGTTGTGTCGTTCAAAACCTTTGAGGGGGAGAAAGATTGGTGACCACACTCATGAGCAAGGACCCAAAGACCGGTACCAAACAAACCCTGGACCACAGTGTATAGAGCCCACAACACAGCGCGAACTGGAGTCGAAGGGACGTTTTCTGGGGTAAGATATCTGTTGAAGAGGAAAAACGTAGTGGCCAAGCTGGCAATGTCGCGAGCAACATAAGCCAGACCTCGTGCTCCAGAGCGCTCAAAGCAATGCTTGGGGATTGCATTTCGGATGTCGTTGACGGTATAATCTGGAAGCTCGAATCCATTTCCATAGGTATCAATGAGTTTGCCATATCCAGTTCCCTTGGTTTTCTTGACATCATCGCCTAGAGATGACATAGACGACAAGGAGGTAGACGAAGAAGATCTTCTGGGGGTCTCATTGGGTGAGCCTGCAGCTGTCGAGGGGGAGGATTCGGCAGTGGAAGAGGTGACCGTCCTTTGAATGACGGTACCTTTTGGTAGGGCAGTAGTAGAGGCCATTGTTTTATAATTCTTGTAAACTCGAGTTTCAGAGGAAAAGATTGAAAGTTTCGAAGGAAATGATCACTTCGAAATTCGAATTCAAAGCAATTGACCAAATTCTGAGTATAAAGTGAATCGACCAAATTTGTTGAGGTTTTGGCGGGAAATAATTAAAGAAGGCTCAACGAATAAGTTCTAGCAATACTGTTAGTTTCCGAAAGTTTCTAATTGGTTGGAATACTGTATAATATACTTACAAGCTTTCTTTCTGTAAAGTGTACACACTCTTCAAGAGGCGTATTAAGTTTGTAAAGAAATTGAAAGATGGTAATCTGAGGGAATGAATTGTACTTTTAAAGGGAGAGAGAGTGGTTTAAGAGAAGGGATGGAGGGAGGGATGTAGGGTGTAGGGAATGGTGGAGCTTTGGAGGGATGTTAAAGTTCGCTTCGACCTAAAAAGAAAGAAAAAAAAGATTTAATATTCCTATAACACCAGTTTACCCTTTTAGGTTTATAGCCATGATTAATGTATTGTATTAATACAAGTATGTAATATATAAAAAGAGCCAAGCAGGAAGCAAGAACAAAGTGTGCTGCTTCATCACCACTACTCAACAAACTTCCAACTTCGTTGTCAAGCAAAATAGGGAATTGTGTTCAAAAACTCCACCATGCTGCATCGATATGGATGGAGAATTAAGCAGGGACATTCATTATCTTGATTCGGATAGGATAAGGGATGAAGATCTTATCATGATATTTAATTTCTCATGGTGGCGACTACAATCTACTTGTCTAAATACTGTTATCTCAAGGGGCTGTTTTGTTGTTGATTTAACAAATAGTAATAACTTTCATGAAGTGACCATCTGTCAACTGATGACATCTGGTACTATCACCAACCTACATCGCCCCTTCTTCAAATATCGTACCCTTTCTCCCTTTCCACCCCCTCATTATGTCACTTTATCTCCGATAACAGACATTCCAATTTGACTTGAAGCTCACACCACCATCTCTCGGTCCGTCGTGGAGAACCCCTGATAAGTTGGTTTCAAAATGCTCCAGAACTATACGGTAGGAGATTATCTAGTATCGCTGGGGATGGGATTTATTCTATGGGGACTACACGAACACGATGGGGGGTTTTGTATCTCCCTCACCGCTAGAGTACTTTAGGAGAATACACAGTCAATGGCTTATAATGCTCAGCGGCTCAGCGGCTCAGTGTGGAAGATTGGCGGTACACAGCAGATTCATTCGGCATTCAGCTTGTGTACGGAAAGCCTAAACATACGCCCTATAACTCTTATATTTAACTTCATAGATTCAAACCATCCATCAAATTCAGCCTGTTTCTAGTACTGTATGCATTAAGAATCACATTCACACCAAGCATTCGGGAAACGAAAACGAGAAAGGGAAGTGAGTTGGCCAGCTTCACTTGGACAACTAATAAAATGGTCTTCTACAAAAGAATTACCAAATTCGATCAAATGGCGACGGTTACCCCATCACGTATTTGATGTTCCAATTGACCAATCAACATATCACCATATAGAACTTATCCTTGCATGACATGCATTTAATCTATTTACCCGGATGCTTTTCCCCAACAATTCTGGAAATTTTATTTTTTGTTGGGGCTGGAAAACCAAAGATCGCTGCAAGGGTTTCTGATTCGTCCAACACGTTATAACTACTAAACCTAGATATTTTGTAAAGATATCCCAAAGTCATTCTTCCTTCCCTAAGCCACACTGCCACAGTACTGTATGTGACTGTAGTTGTGCCATTGTTACTCTATCAATTTATCCAAACCTCGGTATCTGATCTGATCGCGTTGCTATAAAAACGAACATGTGCTGTGCATGAATAGAAACATCTTTCTGTACCTGATTTGAATATCAAGGGAATTATTTGGAATCTCAAAAGAGGGATCCATATGTCTTGGGTGGTTTGAGAACCCCTGAGCTAATATTCGGTTAATTCGAAATATATTTAACTCAACCAACAACCACGAATCTTTTTCGCCACTCATCACTTCGCTGAGTCTCGCCATGTGAAGCTCACATACCAATAGATGTTTTGAGGCATTGATCTTCGGTTTAAGTTTCACTAAATATTGTCACAGATTTTGAAATTGATTTAATAATACTATTATTAAAAGTCAATTGGCCTTATTCGCAACGTACCTCGAGTTCATCTCAACACTGTATAGCTATTCTCCAAGTCAAGGACACTAATGTTTGCTGCATCAGTAAACTTTCAAGATAGGCTACTTTCACACTCGAAAACCTGGATGATGCGGCTACTTGGAAGAGGTTTGAACGATTTGGGGGTGCCGAGTTTCCACATGCTATAATAAGGATGGCTTCCCCAAGTAAGGCCTCCCAAATCCTCGGGTCACATAAATATGACATGTGGACTGAGTGGCATGCAACTCTTAAAACTCTACCTAAGGTGTATCGAAGGTATCTTTCAGTGTGCAAAAGAGCTGATGCATATTTGCACCATTCTACAATGTTTTGAAACGCCATTTCCCATGCAGTCATTCCCAATGTGGTGTTTGTACAACGAGTAGTCTTGCTACAAGGCTGAGATTGTGCCAAATAATCTTCATTATCACATCTATTTTGGCCACTTCTTCCATCCACGACCATGACCTCTCTGCGATACAAATTAGTAGCCGAGCATAAACGTGAATTGCCATGGGAAAACAAACCTCTTTCCATGTCTGTATCATCTGTGGCATCTCTAACATAGCCTTTCTTCTCTTCTCCAATCTGTTGCGAACCATATGTCAGTACGTGTACCAAATCGAGCAAGCCCAAATGCAATATCCAAACATACCTCGCCTTCAATGTTCTCTCGGATTCCTTTCCCTTGACTCTCTGTCCAACACCTGTACCCTTTACCCTCAATCCATTCTCCATCCTCTTACGTAATTTCTCCTCCATGCTCTTCGCAGAGAGTGGTAAAAGTTCCTCCACCCCATGTTGTCGTGCAAGCTTGCACAATTGCGCCTGCCGTCTCAGAGAGAACACCGGGTCATGCCATTTCCCAGTAATTGGATGCTTATGAGGTTTGAATGGCGATGTCTCTTCGGTCACAACTGGACGTTGAACTGGCCTTGAAGCTTTCTCGATAGCTTCTGATATCGCCGCATGTGAAGTCGTGTTGACAGCCGTGACCTCTGGGAGGATGGCTCGAGTTGGGTAACGGGCGAAAAAGTTTCGGAGCTGCGGTGGCAGCGATTGCGCGAGCTTCACATATTGCTTGGGCTTCAGCATCTTGATTGTCGCTGAAGGCTGAGATTGTGAGGTGGTGTTGATGTCGAAATAAAATTCATGATTGGTGATTATGTAAGCCGATGGCTTTTGGCTGCCTCGATTCTTCAGCCTCGTCTACTTCAAAACATTCGGATCAAAAGTTATTTCGCATTGCGCCAACTCTTCTGCAGAATCTATTTCTAGAGAATCTGTAAAGCCATATATATTCTCTTATCTCGAGATACCTGACCTATTTAATATCTTCAATCATGGCTTCAAATGTATATTCAAACAGCGCCGACGCAGTGCCGCCGCCTCCAAGAGATAGTGATGGAAGACCACCATCTCCTCCACCTCCCCCTCCAGATTCATTCGTCCCTCCACCACCTCCAAGCTCATTAGCTCCACCTCCTCCCCCTTCCAGTGATCTTCCACCACCACCTCCGTCCGAACTACAACCTCCTCCTCCAGAACCTATAAAAAAGAAGGGTTGGGGAGCTCCAAAGCCCGTTCCACTCAGCATCGAGGACATCTTGAGGAAGAAGAAAGAGGCAGATGAGGCTGCTGCCAAGGTATGTAATCGACCCTAATCATATGAAGCTGGCAGCCATGTTCACAATACATGTTTAGTATTTCCTCGTCTCATTACTAATTATCTGAAACTACAGCCTAAATTTCTATCAAAAGCTGCTCGGGAGAAGCTGGCTCTCGAGAAAAGAGCTAAAGAGGTCGAAGAACAGAAACGCAAGCGCGATGGAGAACAGGATAACCGGATATCGGTAGGAAATGGAAATGGAAATGGAAATGGAAATGGACATAGATCTGCCACGAATGGTCGAGACGGTTATGAACGATCGCACCAGCAGGATAATGGACGACGAGATTCTTCCTTTGTGCCTACTGGGCCTCGAGCTATGCGAAATGGTCAACAAAATCGATTGAGCACTAATAAATCGAACGACATGGAGCCACCAGCCAAGCCAGCTGCTGCAGCAGGTACTAGTAAAGCTTCGGTGGCTGGGGAGAAACGACCTGCGAACACGGAAGATCTGCAAGCTGCTCTGATAAGAACGCGATACATGGGTGCCGAGACAAATCAATCGACATTTTCTGCGAAGAAGAAGCGCAGACGAACGACTGAAAAGAAATTTAATTTTGAATGGAATGCCGAGGAGGATACGAGTCCAGATTACAATCCTATCTACCAGAATCGGGCGGAAGCAGGTCTATATGGCCGAGGTAGATTGGCTGGCTTTGCAGAAGATGAGGGAGCAACTCTGAAGTATGCTAAAGCTCTGGAAGAACGAGATGTGGAGGCTGGAGGTGCGCGTGCACGAGAAATTATGGAAATGGAGAAGCGGAGGAAAGAAGACGCCGGCAGGAACTCACTTGACAAACATTGGAGTGAGAAGAAACTAGAACATATGCGAGAACGAGACTGGCGTATTTTCAAGGAGGATTTCAATATCAGTACAAAAGGAGGGGCAATTCCGAACCCTATGCGAAATTGGTCGGAGTCCAAGTTACCAAAGCGACTTCTGGATGTCATCAATCAAGTTGGTTATGATGAGCCATCAGCAGTACAGAGAGCTGCTATCCCTATAGCATTACAGGCGAGAGATTTGATCGGTGTTGCCGTTACTGGTTCGGGTAAAACTGCGGCTTTCTTACTGCCCTTACTGGTCTACATTTCCGAATTACCTCCACTGAATGAATTCACGAAGAATGATGGACCGTATGCTATTATTCTCGCACCTACCCGTGAATTGGCACAACAAATTGAAGGAGAAGCCAAGAAGTTTGCAACACCACTTGGGTTCACTTGTGTTAGTATCGTTGGTGGTCATTCCTTGGAAGAGCAATCTTACAACCTTCGTAATGGTGCTGAAATCATCATTGCGACACCTGGTCGTCTAGTTGACTGTATTGAACGACGAGTTCTCGTCTTGGGACAATGTTGTTATATTATCATGGACGAAGCAGATCGTATGATCGATCTCGGATTCGAAGAATCCGTCAACAAAATCTTAGATGCCCTTCCAGTCAGTAACGAAAAGCCAGACACAGACGACGCAGAAGATGCCCAAGCAATGAGCAGACATCTAGGAGGTAAGGACCGCTATCGTCAAACTATGATGTACACAGCCACCATGCCTACGGCTGTCGAAAAAATCGCCAAAAAGTATCTTCGTCGCCCCGCCATCGTCACTATTGGTAATATTGGCGAAGCAGTCGAAACTGTCGAACAACGTGTTGAGTTTGTTTCTGGTGAAGATAAACGCAAGAAGCGTCTCAATGAAATTCTCGCCTCGGGTGAATTCCAACCTCCCATCATCGTCTTTGTCAACATCAAACGTAACTGCGATGCCGTGGCTCGCGATATCAAACACATGGGCTTCACGTCGGTCACGCTCCACGGTTCCAAAACCCAAGAACAGCGTGAAGCGGCTCTTGCATCGGTCCGTTCGGGCTCAACTAACGTGCTTGTCGCGACGGATCTGGCGGGTCGTGGTATCGATGTGCCGGATGTATCGTTGGTGGTCAATTTCAACATGGCGACGAATATTGAGAGTTATACGCATCGTGTGGGTCGAACGGGAAGAGCGGGGAAGAGCGGCGTGGCAATCTCTTTCTTGGGCAATGAGGATAGCGATACCATGTATGATCTGAAGCAGATGTTGACGAAGAGTAGTATTAGTAGGGTGCCCGAGGAGTTGAGGAAACATGAGGCGGCGCAGCAGAAGAGTCAGAGGGGACAAGGTATGAAGAAGATTGAGGAGGGTGGATTTGGTGGGAAGGGAGGTGGTGGGGGTTGGTAGATGATGGATAATGGATGATGGGTATCGAGAACTTTCGGAAAACATATCGATATTGAAGTTCCGATGGATTCTTCTTGGAAGCTTCAAAATCACTAGGTGTTCATATCTATTATATTGATTTGAGTGATAAATAGATATTCTGATCTGAAAAACTTATTCCACATTGTATATTAATTCAATCTCATATTCCACATTAAATTACTGTGTATATCTATCCCATCCCAATTCACTTGGAGTCATATAACAATATTACACCAAATATCCATTCTTAGTCTAATCGTCCCTCTTTACGACGATCTCTATGAAATGAGGAATCCTCAGAATGACAAAGACCCATATCTCAAGATGCCTTGAATCATTTATCATTTATCATTTGGAAAGTTATGCAATTTGCAATTCAAAGCTTCTGCCCGCCTGCCTTTGGTTCTCTCTCTCTCTCTCTCTCTCTTCCTCTCTCTTCCTCTCTCTCTCTTTCTCACTTACTTACTTCCTTCTTTTCTCACTACCTCCTTACCTCCCATATCAAATCCTCCTCTCTACTCCTCTCCTCTCCTTTCTTCTTCAATGATCAGAAACTACATCCCCAAAAAATCAACATCAACATCAGCATGAAATCCAGTAAATCTATACTGTTCAACAGTATTCTATTGCATCTCAACTCATATAATCCCATTTGATCTCATCTCATCTTATATGACAACATAAAGAATATTCCACGGTGCTCGCTCTATGTATATCTCTTCATCTTCACTTGAGATTAGTCCCAATATTCTTATACTGTACTGTACTGTACTGTACTATACTATACTGATAGCATCTCATCTCATCTCATCGTATGAAAGTTCGCTTATGTAGGTAGGTAGGTATATCGATCAATAATAACTTATGGGTCTATATCTATCTACGTTTTGGTGTGTAATGGGATGATAGAGATTAGATATCATAATCATCTGAGATTGATT